ATAACCGATTTCGCTCAATAGATCCGCAAGCAATCGCCCTACTGAATCGTTCGCCTCCCTCCACAATTCCTCTCTTCTCTCCAATAACTTCTCCTCAACTTCCGCATCCTGAACATTACTCACCCTTTTATGAAACAAATGAAACTGCTTCCATATCGTGATCAATCTATCAATAGTAGGCCTGCGATCTGATACTAAAATAATTCCGTGAAAAAAATAGCAGGCAAATGTGACCATTTTGTACGTATAAACATAACTAGTGATCGAGGTTCTCTCTATACGATGCATCTCTCATCCCATTTCTTCGGTTTTATATTGCTTAATGTATTTTCCGTACAATTAGTTCGGTAATATATTAGCATTAGGCTTCTAATGATATGCGGGAATCCTTTTGAGTCAGCGTTGGAAACTGCCACCCTTTGCAGTCTGATTTTGTGATTTCGACGTTTCCTTTGATCGCTCTTCAAAGGAAACGTCCAAAATCATCCGTTCCTTGCGAAGAAATTCAGCGGAGGGGTAACGAAAGACGACGAAATTTTTTGCGGAGGAAGACCGACTATTGCTCGCCTTTTGCGAAGGAGTGACGGCTGCCCTGTTCTCCAACCTCAGTTTCAACATAGTGAGCACAGGCGATGACCGGTCTAATGAGAAGTTAACATGACGAGAAACGGTCTGGACAAAAATAGGTGAGATAAGACAAGATCAGGAGCGATCATGATGATCTCAGGCGATCACGGAGAACGATCAGACATTAGCATTTCTCATCCATGTTTACAACACATCAAATAACTAACAAATCCTTCGCAAGAAATTGATCCAATTCGATGAATTGAAGAACAAATTTCATTGCAATTCTTCGATCTGATTGCATCCTCCAATTGATCCGCCAGCAAAAACCACGAACGAATCGCTTTCAGTGGCTTCAAACGTTTCTCCAAAAAAGCAACACTCTCAATGGACGCCATCAATCGTTCATATTTGGTTGGCGATTGTTTCAATAGAGTCTGAAAAAGGATCGAATAGGTGACACCTCGAAATATATTCATTTATCGATCCGAAATATATTCAAAAAGATCAAA